GTGGGATGTTAGATATCTCGGGACAAACCGTCATTGTGTTATATATATATATAAGTATAAATTTCTGGTCACACCGATTTGAGACAGTCATTTCTGGTTCTCTTTCCTGATTTCAATTATAAGCACAGATGTACATGTACAGTCCATTAATTATTTGCTTTAACATAACGAAAAATGTATAATGAGTTGAATTTTTTCAGACGTATTTGGTCGCTTTCGGAACGAGTGACCCCCCCCCCCCCCCTCCACTCCTCTCTCCTGTCTCCTGTCTCCTTCATAGCACTCGTTGACTAAGGTTTTCAATTCAACATCCTGTTACAAGAAACCACCTACTTGTGGCATTTATTTATAACTCACAAATTATTTCTTTTTATAAACGCATCCATACGAAATAGGTCTCTATAATCAAGCCGAAAGCTTTTTGATAAATCATTGTTCAGTATCGTATAGTATACCGTTACAATACAACCATCCAAATCTTTTTTAACAAATGATCAACTAGAATAACCCCTACAAGTAACCAAATTCTGTGTTTTTATCAATCCTATTTGTATTTAACATTGATCAAAGCTGATTATGTTTGATCAAGATATTCTTCAGAATACATCCGCTTTGCTTCAATCACACTCCCCAGCAAGGATGAGAGTGTAATATTAATTTGTCATGTTTCAATAAAGTAATTATTGGTAAATAAGTATTTACTTTCACATACTTATGATATGATAAATGGCGATATTTATAAAGTTTCCTATGGTTTTACAGTTTACACCATACTGTTGACATTATAATGACATAATAAACCGGCGGAAACACCATCAGGCGTTCAAACTTTTATTACTAAGTCCTTGAGTTTTTATTGGTACTATCAATTTCTTATGTCATTTTTTTCTTATGAAGTTTGTCAAAATTTTATCACCATCTATAATTTATAGAAAACCTTGAGTGACGTTACGTTACTAGTCCAACAGTCTTTCCCATCTTGAATGAATAAAACAGTAAAACGTGGACGTTACGCCAGCGCTATATATTTGGAAACTGGTGGGGCTTGTCGGGTTAGGAAATTTAGGTTGTAACATTGCGGTTAAGCAATGTTACGAAAGCACAGGAACAGGCATGTAGGTGTAACTTCTAGTGATAGAGCAATGTTTGAAAACTTTCAAACGCCATTGGTCTGAAGACATCCAGCTTCAAAATGTTTTTCAATGGAGTTTTCCCGCGGAACAGTGAAATTTTATCCATTAGAGTCAAAAGTTATAATTTATGATAAGATGTCAAAGTAATCGAATCACGTGGGCTGAGAATAACAATTATTCAAGAAATTGATGATGGTCGTAGGTTTCATGCCCAGAAAACGAAAAGTCCCTTGTTATTTAATTGACTTTCGCTATCACATTTCTCTTCTCGCACCTAAAATACTCTAAGGATGGTGAGCTATTATTAAAATAGAAAAAAAGCTAAGATGAATTTGTGTCGAGGACAGTTGACAAGTATATATCAGTCAACCAGCCAAGCGACGCTTATATTGAGGTCACATTACCTGGTGGTAGAATTACCCAATATTTACTCAAACCTTGGACCACCTTCGTTTATATCTACATATTTATCTACAACTCGCCCTTTTTGGGGTTAAAGGTCAAATTGGGACAGTTTACAAGTATTTGAACAAATTCCAGTCGAATCCGAAAACATTTTCAACTGCACAGTCTTCATTACCGTATTGAGCAAATACAAACACAAGACAATATTAAGGCACAAGCACATTTCATTGATGAAATATTAAACACATTACGTTTCAACAGAAATTATACGTGTCGTCATCAGATGAAATTTACCAAATAATTTATCTTTTACTATGAAATATACTTTTCTCATACCTTTTCAGATGTAAAAGTTACAAAAGGAAATATTGCCCATCCAAAAGGCAAAATTTGTCGCGACCGATCACCCGAATTACATTGAATGTTAAAAGGGATATAAAGACGACAATCGAACAACCAAGAACATCGAGTGTTTCTGTAAATGATCTTGCTTGTCGTTTTTGATCTGATTCTTAGACCCTTGCATCTCGTGTAATCTATCTTTTTGAAATTCGCAAATGTCTCAACCGAGAAATATTTTCTGAACCCCTTTAGGACAATAATGAAATGATAAACTTATTAACTATGTATCTATGATAGATATGTTGTATATACTGAAGCTATTTATGGCTAGCCTGAGGCAAAACAGCAATGATACTCTCTCAGTACTTAATTTATTATATCGTTTTTTAATAAATACTCACAACAAATCACAGAATGTTGACAAAAATGACCTATCGCATTTTAAACCGACTTGCCAGGAGTTAACTTGCTATGATAATATTATATTTTATTGCAAGATTAAAAAAACCCACAAATAACAGTATGTTGAAAAACATGACCTAATACAGTTTAAACCGACAACTGGCATGTCCGTGTAAGATGGGTATACAAAAAGTTCTAGACACACTCGCAACTGTAAGCAGCACTCTCCAAACAAGTAACTATTACAGCTGACTTAGCATAACCTTTCGAAATGAGCACATTAATGCTTTATTTAGAAATAATTGTTGAACATAATAGGTGTATTGAATATTCCCTTATCCTATCGATAGCTTAAGTATGTTTAATTTTTAATATGCTTAGTAAGTATTATTTGTTTACATGACTTATAAGATTTACACAATAAAGTTATATTGACACTACAATCATTAGTCATGTCACACCTTCAACCTTCCTACTTTTTTATTACATTAACTTAGTGAACATTTGTACACAGGTGTACATCCGGTGACATCTTCACATGGTCAAGCTATTACGAACATCGTCTTAAACTTTTACTTCAATAATCATATGGCAGATTGTAAATGATCGATATGATTGGATTGTACGCTAGCGAATACAGACAATCAGAGGCCTCGGCAAAAAGTCATTATGTATACGATGACCTCAATTCATTTAAATTACATGTAATTGATTTCAAAGATATTTGCTGAGGTTCATGATTTTACCTGGATTCTCTGTACCCAATTATAAGTTGGATTGAAAGGAATAATGAATTTTTAACTGTTATAGTGTCGGGTGATCAGGAAACATGTAGTCGATCTCGTCACCAGGGCCACGTTGTCACTGATTTCTTGTAGCAGTTTTCTCAAAAGGGTTGACAGAATGTATCAGGTGTTTCGGAAGAATCATCTTGGTCTGACTAGTTGGCGTATTTATTTCAATTCTTATATCTAAATGGGTGACTTCATTGATATCAACGTTCTTATTATACACACAATTTATCTTTAGGTATAACGGTGTTTGACTTCAGATCACAATTTATTAAAAGAAGGGGGTCATCGGCTTTTGAACTGGAGTAGGTCAATCTGACAGCCTTTGACAGTGGGGGCTTCAGAACCCTAAAGAGGGGGGTGGAGGTTTATTAAATATAAAGGGTACTAATCCTGCATTTTATGCAATTTGAAAAAGTATTCTTTTAATATCATTACATTTTTGCAATGGAAAAATGCATATTTCCACCAATCAAGTTTGTTGAGCACGCCACTGACCTTTATATTCATGTATTTCGTATTCCCATTGCTATATACCTGTACAGGTTTAAAAGAGTTTCAATCCTTAAAACAAACACAGATTTGAATAAGTAAAACAAACATTGAACTAAAAACCAAAGACTAGATCACTGTGACACCCAGTAAGTTAGCGGGAGTGCTAAGTACTTGGTAAATATAACATGTACACTTCAAAAGTTAACGGTGCAGTGTTATTTGTTTTGTTGCAAGTCTTTAAAATTCTGCATATCATGGTCAAATGCCACTCTCAACTTCGGTAGCGAAATACAATAGAGGAAGGGTTGTACTGTTTGAACTTCTCGAAAATGGTGGCACTGGTTATGCTGTGACCAGGGAATCTTATAACCTTAATAAGGTCACCGTGGCGTTAAAGGTCGGATTTAGCCTTCATTGTAAATGACTTCAAACGCTTTGCAAAAATCAGAGAATTATATGCAATGTATGCTCATGAATCGTGCTCTCTACTATACTTTATAACTGAATATCTGTATATAAATACACTGTATAGGAGTTCTATTGTAATTTTCTCTATAGTCATTTTACGTGGATCGTCTATGTTTGTATATTAAGAATTGTAAAAGTATGTCCCTTCAATGCAATGTCAATGCAGTCTTTATTGACGTTTTTAAAAGGATAGTACAATAATCACTATTTGAAAGAAAATACCGCTTATTTATTCGAACAACTGTCTATTACAGTGTCATTAAGGTAGATCGGTCAACTGTAAAAACAACACATAGTTAATAAATTTATCCTTGTGGAGGTTGAGAGTTTTGTTATCTTTTTTATCCAACATTTTCTTAAATAAAAATATGCGGACTGAAGGAATACATTCTCCTCCTCAGAGCCTTCATTTCTGACTGCTACTTTCTTTTGGTATTTATCTATGTAATTTTTCATAACTTCTAAGTATAGCTATAACAAAATCTAACTGGTAATGGTAAGGAATTGGCAAAACCATTTTAATTGGATTAATCCATTCACCAATACAAGTTGAGAGAATAACTCCTTTTAGAGTCAGGACTCTCGGACTAGGTCATTAGGGACTTTGAAAGTTAAATAATTATCATATCTTTTATCTCTAAATGGTGCAATATACATTGTAATATCTATATATGTATACGAATATTTATAATACCTAGATACGAACTTTATGACCATTATACTTATCTAATTTACAATGTAAGGTTTATGTTTTTTGTCTTCGGAGTATAATATAATATTCTAATTGTCGCCTCGCAAATAAAAACTTTTCACAAAATATCACATTCTCGCTTTTTGTGACACCGGTGTATACCATGTAAAAAGCTTTTCAGACAACCCGGAAGGTGACAGTTGAGAATCAACCCTATCACATTCCAGAAGCAATAAGATTCCCTTTCTTACGCCTGTTTTCTTGATTTGGATAATGATATTATGTAATTTAAACATATCTGACCATATATTCTTTTATATTTTCAGGTCTATAGGTTCGATATTGGGAGGGGTCCCGTCCCTGAAAAAACTTCAGGGAGCCAGTAATGATGATTGGGTAGACAGATTGAACCATGTTTGGACGGTGTTCCTCTTCGCTCTATTCGCCATTGTGGTCAGTACGGGACAGTTCGTGGGAGATCCGATCCATTGTTGGTGCCCAGCTGAGTTCACAGGTACGTCTGGCGTTATTGTAGTTGTCAAAGGATTGAACATAGAACGATCGAAACGTGGTTTTCTTGTTAAAAAGATTCGACGTTTTTCAAAGAATATAACTTCATTGTCACGTATCTAGTGATATTCGGATAATAAAATGGCTCAACGAATAAGACTGCATTTCAGAACAGTATTCAGTATTCACCACTGTTTACAGTCTGTTCTTAACTTATATATTTTATTATAAATATATACATGTAACCAAAATAAACAATATAAAATTTATTCATTATAATGAAAGAACCAACTAAATTGTCTGGGATACGTCCTGAATAAGTAAGACTCTTCTCCACACTACAATTTTAATGGTCTCGACCACTGAGATAGATTTCAGATTGGTCATAAACGCTGCTCTGTATTCTACTTTATGTGGTACCTACTGTAACCAATTCTATGGTTTTAATGATTGAACGTGAAATCTTTTTTGCGTAAATCTAAGTCAGTCCTCTGTTAATGTGATTTGAAATTTGAATGATGCAAATTGATGCTATCAGTGTCCCGATACGCATAATGTTTTTTAGAAATACTCTTTATATACAATCCCATTGATGGCCCCCATTCTTATAATGTGGTATAATGACTACCTTTCAGTTATAATTCCCATAGTGACTTTCTTGTACAAATGTCTGTTATAACTGTATCGTTATTTTCCAGGTGCATATGTCGACTATGCCAAGTCTTACTGTTGGATTAAAAATACTTACTTTATCCCCATGCAAGATTCCATACCGACGGATATCAATGTACGGGAAGATGAAGAGATCACCTACTATCAGTGGGTGCCTCTGATTCTACTCTTTCAAGCCTTTATGTTTAAATTCCCCAATATCATGTGGAGAGTTTTTAATGGCGGTTCTGGTATAAATTTAGATAAGGTAAGAGATAGAAATTGTTTTTGTGCTAATAAGGACTATTTTGATATCGAAATAAAAGGGGTATAATCTGGTTAAACGAAACCTGGTTATCAATTGTTAGATTGACACATTAACATTGATTTTATTCTAACAACATTGACTCTATGTGGGAGCCGCGGTGGCACGATAACCTGAAGGTCCAGGGTTCAATCCCGGCATAGGTTGAGATAATACCTTCGGATTTTTCAACCCGGTTTCCCCCTGTCAGTGATGCAGGTAATACGGGCTGACATGAACACATTTACTTTTATTTTATTTTGGTAATATTCGTTCTTTGTGTCCGATGTGATCTTTATATTGAGCAGCTGTAATATTGGTTCTTTGTTATTTGAAATTGTACTAACTATATGTGAAATTGTTACATCCTCACATTGCAGATCAATTATAGTAAACTCTCTCTGTAACAATGTCGTGTTGTTCCCATCACCCTCAACTGATATTGAAAATTGAATTTATCCATTGCAATGTCGTAACATACACATGGTTTTGAAACCTACTCTCAGTGCAATTTTTTTTTATTTTGCAGGTTGTAGAAATGGCTGAGAAGACTCAGATGGGATCACCCGATGAACGTAAAACAACAATTGAACACATCGCTAAATATTTAGATAGATGGTTAGATACACACAGAGAGTACAAATGGAACATCTTAGTCCGAGCTAAACAAACCATGGCAAAATTCTGCTGTTTTTTCTGCAATAAGCGAGCTGGAACCTATCTCACTGCCTTCTACCTGTCAATCAAAGTTTTATATGTTGTTAATGTAATTGGTCAATTCTTTTTGTTGAATGCATTTTTGGCTACAGATTACAACCTGTATGGTTTTGAGGTTGCTAAGATGCTCTCTGAAGAGGGTCAATGGAAAGAATCGCCGAGATTTCCCAGAGTAACGCTCTGTGATTTCCGCATTCGTCAATTACAGAATATCCAACGTTGGACCGTGCAGTGCGTTTTACCGATCAACCTGTTTAATGAGAAGATTTTTATAGTCATCTGGTTCTGGCTGGTGATCGTCTCTACACTCAGCTGCATCAACATGGTAGCCTGGTTCTACCGAGTTCTACTTAAACGCAACAGAGGAGCATACATCAAAAAATTTCTGAAAATTAACAACGAATTACACACAGCCCAAGACAAGAAAGACTGTGTTAAATTTGCAGATCAACATTTGAGAGATGATGGTGTTTTTGTGTTGAGGGTTATAGCTAAGAACTCTACTGACCTCGTTGTCACAGATTTGGTCCACGTTATGTTTGATTTATATAAAAAACATCAAAAACCACGCCGAGAGCCCAATGAATATGATCCAGAGTTCCCCAATGAAAAAGAAGCTCTAGCAAACGATAATTAACATTTATATAAATGAGTAAACATTTTAAAACTTTGTACGAAACTTTTTTTAGTTGAGCCCAAAGTCAAATAACATTTAACGAACAAGTTTTACGAGTAGACTCGATCATACTGCTGAATTTTTATGTCAATGTTTAAAGTAGACAATTGGTGTCTGGAAGATCGAAAGAATTCAACTAATATTTTGTGTTTGTTTGGATTCTATTTTTAGCAGAATATTTGGAGCATAGTTTGCTGAAGTGAAGATTATGTGGTCCAGGCAATCACGGTTTTGTTTATTTTGGCTGGAAGATTTTTCGCAGTATACTAACAATGGTAATGTTCTGTATGAAGTGTTTACCTGGCTATGTCTCTAAATTCCAATCACCATTTAAAGAGGGTTTATTTGATATGCTCATAGATAAATTAAGTCATTTCCATTATTTCGTTTCGTAATATTGACGAGCCATTCTTATAAAGAGGCTCAATAATCAAAATATTGTTTTTCCATAGCTCAACTATTTTATAAGCTGCATATGTAAATTAAGCACAAACTGGCAATCGTATAATAAGATTCATATCTATGCCAGGAACTGGCAATTTTGTAAGAATGAGTTACAAACAGAATACAATATAATTGAATAAGCACACTTCTTTTATAAATTAAATACATCACGTTTAAACAAAATTTACAACGTGTTTGTGATTTTTGAATATCGTTCAAGTCTTATAAAGAATAGAAGGTTTTTTCATCGCATTTCCGTAGCTTATTCTATTTTAGGCAGCATTCGTACCACATTCCATTCACACTGCAGTAATTTAGTTTATTGTTCAGATGGTACAACTGTCATCAAAATGAAAAACAAGGTCACAAGATTTCTTTCATTCCAAAATGGCGATAAATGATATAATTATCAAGACATTTGTGTCATGGGTACATCCGGTTAATTACTCGTCAAGTACTGGGACTAAAATTGATTAAAATTTTTATATAAGGCCCCTGATCTTATCCAACTATAGACGAGGCCAGTTCACTTTTTTATATGGCCAGACAAATTCAATTTGTCCTCTTCGTGGATGGTATATTGAACAATCGGTTTGACGAGAAATTAGCCCGATGTATTCACAACATAACTAATGGCATTACCAAATACTGTGATAACACTTATAGATTTTTTAACGAAAACGTTACTGCTGACAATCTTAACATTTCATTTCTCAAATGTTTGAATATTTTGTTTATTTCTTTGTTTGTAACATCATATTGTTTCTCACAATCACAGTGGCTCAACTAGTATAGGGACTTTTTGAACGCGGTCAACGCGCAACAATCCTAATGGGTCCGGAGGGGCCCCGAACCCACTAAAGCCCAACATTGGTTGATAAAATGAATAAGAAAGGCTGCAATAAATCACCCTGCTTCATACCCGTATATGTAACCAGATTTCTTGGCTTGGCTTAGATTCTTACTTCATTTCATATTATACAAATTAGTAATCTAAAAGCTTAAATCAAAATTATCATTTATCATATATTCTGTTTGTAGTTATCTTCTTGGAGACCAATAATTGGTTGTGAATATGTATACTGCTTATATAGAGGTATACGATCAAAACAAATGAAATTTATGACCATTCTAAGAGGTGCTATGACAGATCCTTGACAGAATGTGCCTTAGTGTAAAATCTTTAGCTTGTTTTATATATGTAAATAGTATATTTTTATATCCTTTATATAGTATGTTTTACATTAGAAGGTGATTTTTATTTTTTGTTTTACACTTGCTCCTTGGTTTATACATGTAGACTGATTCAGGAAAATTAATAGCAGCAAAAATAAAACCAAAGGCATTTTCTTTAGTGGAAGCACATCAATAAGGCATTGTATAATTAATACCAATATAACATTTAGACACGTCATTGCCTTCCAACATCACTGCCTTGTGCCTTAAAATATCATTGAACTCTTTAGTGCTCAAAAGCAACATCTATATGATCGGCCTTTAGTCGGACAACGACGCACAGAATATTGTCAGTCTATGTTTAGTAGAATACATGACCTTTGACCTCGTCGGTAGTCAAGATGCCATTGCCATTGATGCTTCTTAACACGAGCCTAAAAGCACGAGGTATGAATGAATCGTCCCCAGATATGCACAAACGAAATATCATTGATTGACTGATGTCTTTGATGACGGCCCTTGCTAGTTGTGAACGGAATGATCAAAAGGCACTCAATCCACTGCTCTTCCTATGTTATACTGTATTTTAATGATGTTTTATTTTAATGATGTATATTTTTTATCATGATATTGTAGAGTTCAATAAGCAACAAATACCAACGTCTTCCACACGATAGATATATGTTAAATATATAAAATAATAAAAAAGTAATTTTGATCACATTCTTGTCATTAGAAATATCTATGAAGAATTATAAATTGGTGAGCCCAATCCACAGAATGCAGAAGCGACATAGATCCTGCAGGCCCGTAGACAGACTTGATTGTTCGGAGGGGAAAGTAATGGAATTGGCCGGTGTTAGAATTCTTTCAATGTGGCGGGTATTTCCCCTGTAGCGGCGGTCAAAAAATAGTATCACTATATCAAAATTAGACCTCTATAAATATTTTATTAGTGTAAAAGTTACTGTACATTAATTATTATTTTGTCGGACAAGTCTGGAGTTTTCTAAAAGAAACATACTCTGCACATTGCTATTTGAATTATAACAAAACGTCCATTTTCCCATTAAAAAAAAACAAAATGTTGGCAAATACGGAATGAAATCTTGTGAGACTTTCTTCAAGTGGATGATGTAATCGAACACAGCTTGGCAACACGTGACATTCTTCGCTCCGAATATTTCGACTTACTATACATTATAGTTAGCATAATCCGAACAGTGATATATCCTTAGTCCCAATACCATCGCTTTCTTTGCTACAACAAATATCTCTGATATAGTTATATAAAACGTGTAGGATAGTCAGTGGCGCATCTACATGCCTGGGGGATGTAGGCAAAAATAAAAAGTGTCTCTCCGAGGCAAGAAATTCTATTTGGGATTGTAAAGAGGGACACAGTTGCCTTCTATCCATACAATCCCTTTAATAAGCTTACGTTACTGACATGATTTAACGTAACGTAAGAACTCTTCGGATAAACTAATCTGTAATATGGAAATCGTTATAGTAATAAAATGATAACATGTTTTAACTGCTAAACTACTTATAACAAAGAGACGGATATATTATGGTTCAACTCAGTTCCATGATAACAAAGCAAATAACGTTTCTTCCTTTCTTTTGTCGCTCAAATGCTAGACGTATGTAATTTATTGCAAACTACTAAGAGTTCCTCGAGACACTTAGTGTTACCTTTGAAATAGGGATCTGTATCTCACAAGGGTCCCGTTCCACAAAAAAATCTATGATCAATTTTGTGGTAAGTATGGTGTTTCTCAATATCAAATTTTACACTTACGACAAATTCATATCGTAAGATTTTTTGTAGAACGGAGCCAAAGCGTTTCCTATCTTTAATGATTCAATGGATTGTAAAGAGGTTTTCTAAACTTCCCGCGTGTATCGGGACGATTTATGGCTTCTATTTTCCATCAAATTTTCCATCAGATGTCTGTGGTTCCTGAAATTATAGAAATGCATACGAATGTTACGTCATTATCGAAATACCTGCTTGTAAATCATGTCTCTGAGTACCAACAACATGTTTATTTGGTTCTGTTTGAATATTTCTATAAATCAAATTATAATAGTTAGGGCGAAATCGAAACTTCATTACGACTATAATTATTTCAAAATATTTATTGCGGATATTGAAAAGTCGGTTGGGGCGTTGGTTCTTACATGACGTCAATGTACTGTATCGAACAAATGGCACTTGTGGGTTTTAATCTCGGTCAGTGTGAAATTCTGATGACCTTGAAGTCATCTTCAGTCATAATTCCAATCGACACAGCTGTAAATGGGCACGGAAAAGGTCAAGATCAAAACCTGTATTTTTGCCAGCAAGAGGGCATGTCTTACTTAGCAGAACACCCAATGATACTGAAAGGCCGATGACCTTGAATAAGACCAAGAGGTTTGGCCAAGGACCAGCTGGTAGAAAGGATCCTTAACTGTGAGCCTAAGTTGTTATCCTTGAAAAATGTGGCTGTTTGTTTCTTTTCTTTCGTTTTGACATGGTGCAAACAAATGGGACGTAAAACTCCATTCATTTTATTACTTTTAATTTCTTTCGTTTACTCTGATTGTTATTATTCTATGCTCGGTTTTCTTCCTCCAACCACCACCTGTGAGTATTTACCTGGTATAATGTACAGTGGTATTTCCACCATATTGAAATCATCTCCAACTATAACATCATGATACTAACATCTCAATCTGCTTATTATTTCCACATTTCACGATATTTGTAACCTTTTATTCAATACAATTCCACGGGAACCAGCGATCATGATTTTTAGTATTGTCTACTATTATACGATAGAACGTTATGTTCAACTGTTTTTTTTTTGCATATTGTCACTCCGAGGTGTCTGTGTCATTTTTAAGAAACAAAAAATGGGCAGGGTTCGGTATCCTATGATAGGACTTTATGGTCAGTTGTGTTTTCGTATATTGCATCATCCCGGGGCATGGACTGTCGGAGATACATTTACCATCCCCTTGATAAATCGCACCTTAGTCTCAGAAATCCTGCCCCCTCCCCCTTCTTTTGTTGTTAGCTTCCCGTCCCTCTATTGTCTGTGTCATTTTGTGGACTTTGAGCTCTGCTTTGCTTCCATTTTGACTGCTCTGCGTGTGTGCCATTAAATAGATCTTTTAACAGACTATAAAAAGGTAGTAGCTGGGCGCCATCTTATCTTTCAAGAGACTCGCTATCTTATTATTACAGTTGGTATTTCTGATGTAATGATGCTAGATAATAGGTTATACTTTTATGTATTAGTCTCATAACCAACAAATGTAAACATGCGTTTGTGCTTTGAATGGTTGGAAACCAAAACGTCAAACGCAACATATGAATTTTCGGAGACATAAGATCTCAAAATCTATTTGATACACAGAAAATGCACGGTCGTTCGAATTTAACAAGTTTATAAAGTTTATTGTTAATGTCATATTTTGAATGTCCGTTAGATTGTGCCTCTCCTATCGTGATGTGAATCGACATTGTTGCTATCTAGTGAAATTGCCTTTTATTCTGATCTACTTTCAATGCTACTGAATGTTCGATGACCTAGAATAAGATCACGAGGTTTGACCAGCTGGTAGAAAGGATCCTTAACTGTGAACCCATGTTGTTATCCTTGTAAAATATGTTGTCTGAGTAAATCAGGTTTTTTTTAATTTTTTCGATATTTTTAAAGAGAATTGGAATATCAGACTTAAAATAGTACTGATAGTCTTAGAATGTCTTTGGGTTGATAAAAATATAATCTTTTGTAAGTTTACATTGTAAAGAAACCGTTTCTCTTCTAGAAATATCAACTCAAAAACGCCACAAATTTTGGCTGAAAATTGTCCTCTGTAAAGACATAATGTGTGCATATGCTTTTATTTTATCAATGCAAAGACATTCTTAGACTAACAGTAATATTTTGAGGCTGCTATTCCAATTCTCATAAAAATAATGGGAAAAATTCAAAAAACCTTTTACGTTGCTCTTACAATAGTTGTTTCTTTTCTTTCGTTTTACTCTGATTG